AAATAAAGCAACCAGGCTCCCTCCATACTCAAGATCGGTTTTTCACTTTTAGTACGAACATACACRGCTGACATTTCAGTACTTTTTTTCAAAGTTACAATTAGACTTGTTTTTCCTCATCCAATTTTAGTTTGCGCCTCGTTTTTATACAGTTCTTTTCCTGGCAGTGTTTTTGGAATGGTGACATCATCTCAGTAGTAAAAGTGAGTTCCATTAGGAGAAGGCAGATTTGAGGTTAGATGTTTATGTAGATCCTGTGTGTGAGTAATAACCATCATCCTGCGTCATTAGAAACGCAAAACAATCCTTACAGTATAGCATACACTATTCCCACACTTGTACAGTAAGTCATGAACCTATAAATCCAGTCCTTTTTTTAATAATGGAACCACATTGTCACTTTGCTGCACACTATGTGAAGTGGTGGCACACATGGAACCAGAGATCTTAGAATGGAACTAGATAACCACAGGCTCCATAGTTATCCTGGAATGTAAAGTATAAAACATGGTTGAAGAGAAAATAAGGAGCATGAAGGCAGAGAGAGAATACAAAGACAAAGTTGAAGTTGTGTTATGGATTAGGGCTTGTTTTGTTGGACATTACAGTGATATTTTAAGGGCTGTGGGAAACCAAAACCTGCTCTCCCAGATCCTAGCACGCTTAACCTTTTATGTGCATGTAGCGATGTTATTGCAGGCCACATTTAAAGTCCCATCGTTGCACTTTTGGAACTGCAACGTTTTGAACCTGGACAATGCTCAAATCCATTTTGCATGCCGCATCTCATCTTTCTGGATTTTCTATTTAAACATACAGGAAATGGCTATAATACCAGATTTTTGAGTTTATACAAACTTGACACACTTTGTCATTTAGCTCTGCTCTGTAGGCTGACCCAAACAAAGCAAAGCATGATATTTTTAGCTACTTGAACAAAAGCCACTCCTGATAAAGTTCTGAGTGGGTTTGGTCAAAATGCACTTGGTCTGTGATTAATGATGTGTGGGTGTATTGATACAGTAACTCAGCTGATAAGATTACTTCCTCCTTTAGCACGAGTTGAGCACCATGACTCCTTGCAGCCAGGGTCATCAGAGGTGTCAATAGGATGCTGACCAGACCCCAATTTGCTCGTCTATCACAGTCTGTGATCTATCACTCTCTGACAGGTGTGTGTGTCTGTGGCTGTGTGAGAAAGAGATCAGTAACTTTTGATTTCTTTTAACTCGGAAGCATAAATACTACAACAAATATCCCAGTGAATTATTCTCCTGCCAAACCTGAAATAGAAAATGTAAGCAGTTTTGACTTATGAATGCTTCCCTGTCTGCACACAACTTCTTATAGTTTGTATTTTGAAAGACACACTTATGTTAACTTGTCAAATGAATGATTATTTTAACCCAAATACAATACACTACTTTAACTTTCTAAATGCCTCTCTGTCCTGCTSAAAATTTGTTTAGATAAAGATTAGGAAAAGGGTTTGCCTGAGCAAGCAAGCCGTGGATATTTTTACCCCTAAATGCTGAAACACTGCACTTAGTGTTGCTAGTCCCTTTAACCCTTCAGAGACGTACACATGTACGACATTAATACCCAGACTTTTTTTTTTCTGTTAGGCTTATGCTCAGTTCCTCAAAACAAAACCTTGYATGTGGCGTATTTTCTAAAAGCAGGCAGAGGAATGTGGTGATGTGTGAGAAACAGGTGTTTTGGAACATTTACATGTGGAAAACAAGAGGTCAGGGCTCAGAGTGAAGGATCACATCTGGCATATGGATTCATCTGGAGAAATTAAGCACRAGTGTGTGTGTGGTGTTGTGTGAAAGACACACTCACTGACAGACGAGGGATCAGGAGACGGTGGGAGCCATACACACCCAACGACAAGCCTGTCAAACACTGTATTACTGTGTACGACGGGAYGAACTTGGATCCTCCTGGACCAGAATAAGAGCTACTTTTTCATCAGGGGAAATGGCTTTGAAGCCCCCCTTTCCTTCAGACTCTCTGATCTATCCATCCTGTAATGAATGAAGTGGCTGTTAACGGAGGAAAGGCAGGTGTTCGCTCTCATGTGTTTGTGAGAGTACCCGCTCCTGAACTCTAGCTGCAACAGAATTTTCTGTAAGCTTACTGAGAACATTGCTTTGTTTTTCATACATTATCTCTACAGTGGATGTTGGAAAACACAGACTACGACAGGAATGCATTTCTTCTGGTGGGAATAGAAATTGAGCTAAAAGGTATTACAAAAATGGCAAATCACAAAGAAACCTTCAATGTTTGTCAGTGAAAAATCTTACATATTCATTGTTAGCATTGTTCCTTTGTAACCTAAATGATCCATTAGAGGGACAAACTGAGCACTTATAGTTTTGTTTTATGTAAGCTTTAAATATGGGCTGTAAAGAGAGAATTCAGAGGTTTTTATCTGACCTGATACTGATGGTACTACAAAAATACCCTTAGATACCCCACGTCCAGCTATCTAATCTAACTGTGACTTAAGAAGATACTATTGGATAACCCATGAGCTAGTAAGTTTGGACTTGTGGAGAGCACTGATGCAAGACAGGGTTTTGGCATACTGTAGTCAGCCTGCAAGTTTAATTTATTATTTCCTGACTTCTGAACATTGAAGCAACGGCTACATTGTTGTGACTCATGAAGACTCCTAAATGAGAAGGATGAACCATCTGGGATATTTTTTTTAAACTTTCAGTGTAACAAAGATTTTCTTTTGGATTTTCCTGACCTTTGTTGACAGAATGGTGAACATCATTGTGAGTGATAGCCTGGCTGAGTCCGGAGGAGCTATAACGGCTTGGGGGAGAGGGTTTGGATGGGCTGGGAACTGCCACAGGCTTTGTGGTAAGTTTCAGCTGTGATTTGCAGCTGAGATTCCCACATGACATGTGCAGGGTCAGCCTCAGAAATGGAACCATAATGACCACAAAAGAATGAATCTCTCGTGTCACTTGTCTTCTCCTCACCCAGATATTTCTCCCAGTTCCTCCTTGGTTGTATCAGGCTTTTTTTTTTTGCATGACTCATTCATTTTCCAATAAGGCTCTGCATGCTTTAGTTCCACACCTCATCTTAGATTCTTTTTCACTCCCTTTTCTGTCTCACGCTGAGAATTGCTAAAGGAAAAAAAAAGATGTGTACTGTGGTGTGGCTGCTGGTACTTGTGATATTAGTGGTGGTGGGGACAGGCTCTGTTGGCTTGTAGACCAACATYAGGCCCAAATGACGCAGGCTGGGGTTCAGTGGTGAGACAAGCAAAGGGGTGGGACTGTGGGAAATACTGTACTGTTTGAAAGAAAAGAGCAAAATGAGTTGGGATCTTAGAATCTTGGCTAGTTGGATTATCATGATCTTGATTTGGTTGTAGTTTAACCACGATAAATAAAATATACATTTTACTAACAACATATTTCTCTACTTGACATTTCTCACCTGAGCTGTTTTGTCAGAGTACTTTCGCAGCTGACTTCTCAAAGCTATTTGTATCTGATTGACACTGATGCATTTCTTTGGATTAATTAGTCCTATGGGTCCTGTTAAATTTTGTTTTAAACACTTGATGTGTTTTATGGACCCTGGTAGACTAGAATAACATCCATGTTACATTCTCTATGAATTCTATTAAATCACGCAATAGAAATCTGCTTTATTTGAATATTAAAATAATATATTTAGCATCATCTCAAAGAGCAGGAATCTCTCTGCTCTTGAAACAAGCTATACCTAAATCAGCAGACCATGCAACATTCAGTACAGTAAAATGGAGGCAAACTGTGAACCTAAAAAATAATGGGGACAGTGAAGCAATTCAGTCAAGTAAATGGAGAAACAGAAATGAAACCCATTAATGTGTAAGGGTTGGTGGGTGTGAGGCAGTCACTCTTAACACACTTCCTATTAATTACTATGAAATGATTGTGTAAAACAGGGGTGTCAAACTCATTTTCGCCGAGGGCCACATGAGTGTTATGGTGGCCCTCGAAGGGGGGCTTACATTCTCATCTACTGGCTGGACGATTTACTTTTACTTTCGGTGAGACCAAACCACTTCCACACATGGGAATATCATTTCAGGAAAGCTCTAGAAATTTTTTAGATGAGCAACTTTTTTTTTACTTCATGTTATATAAATCATAAATCTGCACCAATCATTTTTTCTTCTTTTTGGTTTCTCTCCTCTGTCCTCATCTATCCCCACTCATTTCCTCTGGCTTGGCAGAAACGTACCTCTAATTTTGAAGCCAAACTGAAGATTATCGTTTAGTCAGCTCACCATGCTCATTCAGATGAGTTTGCTGTACGATAGAAGACAGAACACTCTGCTTCCTAAACATGTTCTTCACGCAAAATTAAAGATGTAGTCAACAGCCAGCAGAAAGGTACCAACAGGCACAAAACAAGACYCTGTTGTTTTTATCTGACAGAGCTGGACAACCACAATTACAGCAGAGAAAGAACAAGATGCCATCTTCAGGTTATGTAAGGAAGATGTTATCTCCTCTTGGGAGAGTTGTCTGGTAGCAGACTGTCACGTAGAAACCAGCAAACAATGCTGAAGCAGAGGACTTACACTCTTGGTGTTGCTTAGATTCTTGAATGTTTTTTTTTATTTTAAATAGTTAAATTACATTTTACTGTTCCTTTTATCTTGAAGTCATACCTTTGACTATAACTCATCTTTCCTTTTAAAAACTTGCTTGGAATAGTTATAGGATTTTTTAAACAATTTTACAGAAGTATGGATCAAATATTATGTTTTATATTTGTGTTAAGGATAAATGTTAAATATTTGTAGCACAGAATTCTTTACAGAAAGGACTTCGTTGATGGTTGAAATATTTGGAATTTGTTTAGTCTGCATTAAACTGTTCTCAGCATTTCTTCTGTCTTTCTGTTTTTTTTTATCACAAGGCTCCATATGTACTACATTCAAACTGTCTTCCTTTCTGTTTTTGTGTCTGTAGGTGTTTTATCCCTCCCTGCCCATTTCAGCCCCTACACAGAGAACCAGCAGTCGTCTGTGGACAGCAGGGAGGACGCTTACGCCCAGCTGGAGCTGAGGACACTGGAACAGTCTCTGCTGGCTACCTGTGTGGGCAGCATCTCAGAGCTCAGTGAGTGCACTTCTGAAGTTCAGAGTATTTATAATCACACACATTGACACAAAGTGTTCCGTCCAGATTAGCAAACATTTTCAAAATATTTAATTTAKTTCACATTTATAAATATTATATTTTCATGAAAACGTATAATGGTGAATACTGTTTTAAAATAAAGTTTAATCAAGAGAAACTTTCTGCAATTCTTTAAGGTAAATAAAAACAGATATTTTGTGTGTTTGTGCGTTTCACTTCAGACAGCTGAAGACAGAATAAGCCTGTCTGTAAATTAAACTAAAACACCCTGAAGACTCTCATCATAACTTACAACATGGCTATTTTCATATCATCCCGTGCGTCAAATTCCCCTCAGAGATATTCACCGACCAGAAAATGAGCGCTTATTTGGTGTTTGAAGGGTGTTAACTTTTCAAGTGCATCATTCCACACTTCTTTAAATGCTTGTTTCAAGTTTCTCTTGAAAATAAGGGTCTAAATATCAACAAAAATATAAACTCTGGCACAACTTGACTGCAAAGCAAATGTTGAATTGCTTTTTGTTCAGCTCATTTTGTGACTTTTTGTGCAACGTCTCTTGCTCAATTGTCTATAAAAAGAAACAAAATAGGAAATGTGTGCATGAAACTCCAGGGTAAAGTAATAATGGCTGTGCTTGSATATGAGCTGTGTTTTGTTTTGCAATACTTGATCCAGAGTTTTTTTTCCTCACGCAGAGTTTGTTTAGAAAAAAAAGATGGAAATATTTTAGTTTTTCTCTCCGTTTGAATTCAAGCTTAAAAGATAAAGTTGAAGAGACTAAACATTAGGCCAAGGATGATTGGAAAGATTTCTAAAACATTGCCATGAAGGCTGATAAACCTTGAGACTTGAGTCACTTTGTGCTACTGTACATGTGGTCTTTTTTTACTGAGGGCTGTGATGGAGCTGGTTGTGATAAAGAGCAAACATAAGGTTTATAAGAAGTAAGAAGCAGAGTAGATGAATGTTTTGAGGTGAAGCTGAAGTGATAGCTTAAACTTGAGGAGGGAGTTGGTTTACATGCTGAGGTTGGGGGTTCAGGGTCGAAGGTAGAGAGGTGACGAGTGAAGCAGTTTGGGCATGAAGAGGGGAGGAGAGATGGAGATTAGTTTTGGTCAAAGCCAGGATAGGTTTCCTATTCCAAATGAGCTAACACTCTGTCATTTGTTCCTGTAGCACAAGGCCACGTTCATACACTGCCGCCGTTAGTCAGGCATTAAGAAAGTACAGACGCACTCTTTCTCTCACGTTTGCTCASTGGCCTCTTTGTGTCACATTTCTCTGGTGAGGTGAAACCGGGCTAATCTAGGCAGGGCTGGCATCCAGACTCATTCACGCCTAAAAAACACACACACACACAGATTCACAAACACACAGCAGTGATATGTTGGGTTTAACACAGAAGCATCTATGGGGAGCTGGATTTCTTGCACTGGATGTGGCCCAACACACAAACATGCAGCTTGCCATAATAAATGGCARGATTCTAAATATTTCAGCTAAATGTTCTAAGTTGTTGAAACKATATCATAACCAATACATTTATCTTGAAATAAATGAGCATTTTTTTATTTACTTCCACCTGCTTTAGAGAGAAAAGATAATYGATACTATAATAATAATTGTATTGTAAATGTACTCCACTATAATCCTTAATCTAATAATAAAGTATTTCATATCCTTCTGACCCCTGGAGCTTAGTTTAGCTTCAGGGCTCAATTTAAACTGAAAAGCCAGGGTGAAGTTCTCCATCTTGGGCAGGAATTCATGCGGGACCTCCTGGAGAGACATTTGGTGCCGGTTAACACAAAGGGGGCCCTTCAGCTTTAAGTGGGGTCTGTTTTAGTTGGGCTACTCCAATCTTGCTCCCATCGGATTGCCTTATTAGAAGAACCTCTTTATGTTGACTCACACACACACTCACTGCTGATCTCTTCAGCCTTGGATGCAGAGTTGTTTTGCACTTGTAGTAATCCGGTTAAATATTAACCCTGGGGTAATTATGCTAAATGAGCAATACATGATCCCAAGTTCAGTCCGATCACTCTTCCTCATGGCTCCCCTCTTTGCTGCTCGTTCTGTTTCCCAAAAGCTGTAGCAACTGATACACTTTTCATTCTGCAACTATGATCTCCGAACATGATTTCTGGGTTTTATAACTTTGCGCTTGCCCACGTTTTTGTGTGATTTTRGCAACAGATTAACTTTTCCCACAACAAACTAAATGAGCCTTTCCCAAAATGCTTCGTTTTTTCCCCCGCTAAATTCAGACGATACGTTTCTCGAAAAAGTTTTTACACAGATGAGATAAGCCTAAAGCTTTCTCATGGCTACGTTGCCTTTGATAGTGTGACTGCCACTTGACCTTTCAGCTGAGTTCAGTGATTGGATTGAGCCAGTAATAAACAGTTAACAGTTCATTAGAGCTCACGATCAACTGTCCGTTATCTTATTAACTCCCTCAGTGACTAAAGATGAATGACTTCAGACCGGTCGTCTGGCTTTGTTTACTGATAATGACTCTGCAAATGGTGGAGACCACTGGAGCCGTGGAGTAAAGCACAAGAGGAAAGTAGTTAAGGAAAGAAGGAAATCCGGTTTGACTGAGAGCCCAGTTTATACTGAACACAGATCTCCAATTATAGTATTATATTTTTGCTACTCAAACTTTTTTGGCACACATTCCAGACCACTGATGTTTTTTACTGTTGATCGTGTCTGATAGTCTAGATTTAAACATGTAAGTTCTAAGCTTCATGAGATAAAATAATGTTAATACTCCTGCTTATTTTCTTGTTCCAGGTGACTTGGTGTCTCGTGCCATGCATCACATGCAGCGTCTGAGCTCAGCGCGTCCAGGGCTGAGCCCTGCTCGCCACGCCCGTCCCCAGCAGCCTGTCGCCTGGTCGCCTGACGCCCTCCACACCCTTTACTACTTCCTGCGCTGCCCACAAATGGAGTCCATGGAGAATCCCAACTTRGATCCTCCACGCATGGCTCTTAGCAAAGAGAGGTAGGAATTATGGATGACTTGCAGCAGACCTTTCACACACGCTCTCTAGTGTGTAATAGGCAGTGAAAAAAAGGTTTAATCTTCATTGGTGTAGTCTAAAATCTCAGTGGCATGACCAGAAAAAAAGTACAAATATATTTTATATACATTTACATAGCATTTTGTTTTCTTTTATTTTATAAAACTTAMGTTAGAACTGAGTTTATTTGGTTCAAAAATTTAATGAAGATATGACTAATGACATTTTTTCCACTTCAAATACACAAAAGTAATTAACTTTGAAATAATTAAGGTCTTAATTCAATTAACGCTTTTGAAAGCCCTCTTGTAACTGAGGTGTTAATTCTAACAGCCTGTTTACAAGCAAACTACAAGCACCCAGGTCTTATAGTTTCTGTGGTGGGAGAGTTTAAAGCACCTTAAGGTGTTTTGTTAGCAGAAGTCTAGTGGTTTAAGAGATTTTTGGTTGTACAAATGATTTGTAATTCCCTTAGTCATATTAAATTCTACTAAAGCTGTCGTGTTGAGCAATCCTTAAGTTCTGTGTCATGGGAAAAGTGTTGAAAATAACTGCAGAGTCTAATACTCTGTTGAATTTTTATTTTTGAATGGTTATGTAATCTTCTAATAGCTGATGGTTTCAGCATATTGTGGCTTTAAACATGACAAAAAACTAAATGTTTTACGCTGTTTGACTGTGAAAGCAGGTGATGGCATTTCTTTTCTTGCAAATTTTTAAATATTTTTGGTTAGTCTCACCTATTTTTATTTTCTACCCTGTCAGTTTTTTCAAAGTCAAATGATTTTATTGTTCAGTATATATCAATAAGGGTTATGTCCGAAGGGTAAAAAAATTGCTATAAACTTTCAAAGCTCTGCAACATTCAGTTATTTTTAAGACATCTGCCAGAGACTGATTTTCATTTCTGTTTACATCCCTCCTTGTGTGATTGTAACTAAGGTTGATGAAGTTATTGATTACAGTGAAATAACCTGATAATAGTACAGAGCTCTCTCCTACAGTTGGTCTCTTCAGCTCGTTGATGCACACTTTACTTAAAGCTTCATAAAGTCTTTGGCGGAAACTCAAAACCGCCAAGTCTGTGTGGGCTGCATCTTCATACATTATACTGAGCCTCGTGAGAGACTTATTGCTGACTCGTTTTACTAAAAGCACTGAGCATTTTAGCTGTTTTCATAAATMTGGCTGATGGTTGTAAGTGATGATCATCTATTAAACTACACAAACGGAGGCAGGGGTAGGCTTCTGTCTGCATATATGTTTGCATGATGTAGAAAGTAACACAGTAGCAAACATACAGTGAACAAAAACCAAATCTTTCTGAACCCCAAATCTGCTTCTTCCAGAGAAAAGCAGAAAAAATGAACAAATATCATCAAAATTAAATGATTATGTTTAACATACATCCAACAGATCTGATCAGATCTGATGCATTTGTTGCATTTTTAAGTTGTGGTTAACTTGGTCCTTCGTGAACTATGACAGATCTTTCTCTAAGACCTGATTGAAGTCTTACCATGTGAACTTGCATACTGGCACAAGGTTAAAGGTCACACAGCACATATGGTGCGAGTACAGGATGTGATTATGTCTCGGGAGGGGGGGTGGTTTGCTTTTCATGTCGGACAGGTTAGAGTTCAAACACACCTGACCATTATTTGAGCTGACTTTTATTTTCGAACCTGCCAGGTGGCGGCACACAAAGCCCCATGAATCAAAGCTAACATTTATATGTGCCTGTGTTGAAGAGTTTGTACRTGTGTATCCACAAACTGCCGTTCTCAGGATGTTGGGTCAGTAGGCTAGCCGTAGATGCTCTCTAGTTTCATTGTGAACTGGGTTAAACRCTTTGATGTTGGACCTCCTCTCTGGTGGAGCTGGAGTGTTAGTTTCAGGCAGAGGGGCAAATCCCAGACGTTGGGCTCGTACAGAAAACGTAATGCAAAGCTGCAAAGAAGAGTAAAATRAAAGAAGGAAAAACAAAACAAATAGAAGTTACTGTTTTGTTGGGCGGCTTTTGGTTTTGATTGTGCCACAAGATCCCTGTGGCTTTGTTTTCATTTGGATACACGTCAGTGTTTGTTGTAATTCTGAGACCTTTAGTTTTCTGCCAAGATCTTGTATCGATGTTGAGACAACATAAAATCTTCTTGACCACTTCTTATAGGTTCGAGGGCCTGAGGGTTGATGTTTGGAGCCAAACTTCATGTAAAATTATTATCTCCTGATTTTCTGATGGACCAATTGTTCGGTGTGACAAATTGCTTTTGAGTTATTCTGTTCTGGGTTAGTCAGTGCATTGTGTTTGCCTAGAAGCTGTAAAATAACCGTTTTGATGCCTGGTGGCATTACAAAATAAAGACACACAAAACTGCACAAATGAGTAAATACACACAGGCAAAGCTCAATTTGTGTTGAGTGGAGCCCATTAGGAGAGGAATAAACATTGATCCTTGAGCCAAATGAGCCTCTTCTCCTCAGAAACATGACTTTCTTATCACTCTACGCCTGCAGCACCATCCTCAAAGTGACAGACTGCACCCATCCCCCCTCATCTTAACACACCCCACCTGTTTCCAAAATGTTTCCCAAACACTTAAAACCTTAATTATATCCCCCTCATGAGCCACACTTAACCATTCCCTCCTCCTCCGGCTCATCAGACGCTTGTCTGCTTGTTAATTGTAATGCCTGGCTGACAGCAAGGCCCCTCTTCTTGACTGATCAGCAGCTGATAAAGCACTGACAGCATGTCTGGAAAAACAAAGACCGAGCCGACGTACCAAAAATACCTTTGGATATTTTAAGAATAAAGTTAAGAGGTTTAATAATGCAATGAATTTTTAGTAAGATTAATTATCAAGTTGCCAAATAAACATACATATGTTTTGCCTTGAGGTAAACACAATTTATTTTTGGAACAGGTTTTCACATCTACATGAGACTGCTGAATCATCAATTCTCATTAACACCTATAATAACCTCACACTACAGTGATGTTTGTCTTGACTAGCCTTTTGTTTCTATTTGTATTCATGATACTCACAGCATCAGAGGTAAACTCACTGATAATAACATCTCATCAGGAGAGTGTAGTTTAGTAACTCAGTTTAACAAAGTGGCTATGTTCAATCATTAACACACACTGAGGCGTCAAAGGCTCCAAAGCCAACTGTTACAGTCACAATAAGTGTCATTGTTCACATGCACTTTCTATGCACCTATGTTGGGATGTTGGTGCAGACAAAAGGGATTAATACCATATAACTGTTAGCCATAGTAGTTTTTAAAGGTTTAGTTGAAAGAAAAAGACAATGAAGAAACAACAAGAGGGTTCGAATAATCCAGATGGCTTTAAGAATGACAATTAAGACTGCAGAGTCATGGTTAGTCTTACTGTTTCTTACTGGTTTCTTAGCAGAAGTGCAAATTATTAAGACATTTTATTGGTAGTTTAAATGAAGTGCCTTTTATTTATTGTAATCAATGAAGTATAAATGTTCATAGTTTAAACAAAACAAGCAAAAACCAAAACTGAATGGTTTCTTCATTCACATAGGCCTTTCCTGTTGCTCCCACCTCTGATGGAGTGGATGAGAGTGGCCATAGTTCATGCTGAGCATCGAAAGAGTCTGCTGGTGGACAGTGACGATGTGAGACAAACCGCCAGGCTGCTTCTGCCAGGACTTGACTGTGAGCCAAGACAGCTGAGGTAAATGAGAGCACACACACGCGCACACACACACGCACGCACGCACACACACACACACACACACACACACACACACACACACACACACACACACACACACGGTCTAGTATAGAAGGAGTGCCTAATTAGTAGGCCTCTGCAGACTTTAATGGCTGAGGAGGCCTACTAATTAAGGTAGGTTAGGTTCACCAAAGCTGTGAACCAGGGCAGCACCTAAAACATGCAGGAAACCGGCCCCTGAGGACCGACTTTGGACACCACTGGGTTACGGTTAGGACTAAGGTGTGAACTGAGTTTAGGGTTAGGCTAGAAATGACTGCAAGTCAAGGCATAGTCCCTATAAAGATAGCTATACTAAACCGTGTGTGTGTGTGTGTGTGTGTGTGT